CCCCACTTGTGCTCTGTCTCTCTGTCTCTCAAAAATAAATAAAATAAAATAAAAAATTTTTTAATCTTCCATAATAAAAACAAGCAGTATATTTCTAACTAATGTTGGAAAATAAAGATTTAGTCAATGGTTATTAAAAAAAAAAAAGAAAAGAAACTTTGCTTCTTATTAACATCAAAGTGGAACATTCTTCAGAACAAAACAATAAGCTGAAAATCACATTGTAACTGTTATTCACAAGACAAAAAAATATCGCAGAGGGAAAAAAAAATGACACAAAGCTGGAAGTAAAATTGAAGCATGACAAGCTAGTTTTTTCTTCAGAAAAGATTTTTTTAAGCTTATTTATTTTGAGAGCGAGAGAGAGAGAGAGAGAGAGAGAGAGAGAGAGAGAGGAGTAGCAAAGCGAGAGATAGAGAGCAAGAATTCCAAACGCGGGGCTTGTACTCACAAACTGCAAGATCATGATCTGAGCCGAAACCAAGAGCTGGACGCTCAACCAACTGAGCCACCCAGATGCCCCTCTCCAGAAATTATCTTAAAGGCTACTCAGATTTCCATCAGCAAAAGGAAAACTAAATTTAATTGGAGTTCATTTTCCTGAACGAAGATTCCCTCCACTCAGAAAATGTCTGCAGTCATTATAATACCTGAATCTGAAACATGTTTTTCCAAAATAGCATGTTTTTTCAAGTAAATGCCTCGGGCAAAAATGCATTCTTGCTGAGAACCAATTAGTATAGGTCCTTGTCTCTGAACAGATAGATACACAAGATTTCATAAAGAAATTTCAAATATTTTGTAGTCAGAAAGTTTCTACAACCGCAATTTTCTTTTTTTTTTAGATCAGTTCAAGATGTAAAAGAATAGAGACACTACTATATTTTTTAACAGGCTACAAAACAAAGTAGGATGTGTAGGATTACCAGATAAAATACAAAGTGTATAGTTAAATTTAAATTTTGCACAATGACAGATTTTTTAGTCTCAGTACATCTGCAGGAGTGCTGACAGTACGGACTCCATCTCTGGCCCTCCTGCTGGTTTGTGTTCACTTGATGACCTCTCTTGGGGCTGGGTGTTCAGGGCGCCCTGGAGATTAATATACTTAGAAATGCCTGCCAAGCCCAGATGGAGGCTGGGGGAGGCTTGTTTGGGCCCTATGAATCAGTTAGATAGAACACGGTCTTCCCTCTTCCTGAGGCACAGGTGGTGCCAAAAGATCTAATTAAAGGTTAGCTGTCAATTAGGTACATGTGAACCCTCTGACCTCATGACAGTGCTCTCACGCATGTCCCCTCCCTCTGTAAAATCCAAACTAAGGCCCAGACTTTGCAGAGAATAACTGCACTTGCCGCAGATCCTTCTCTGCCAGATCCACTCCCCACAACCCCTCACCCCCACACTCAGTAAGTTACCCTAAATAAAACTCTGTATAAATTGTATCGAGTTGCCTGCTTCGGTTTCCAGTCTCAAAGTTGCCTTCTCAGTTTGGGAGAAATAATTTACTACTCTTCCTCCTCTACCTTCTAACAATGAATGCTCCATACAATATTTGGGACATACTTATGCTAAAAAAAAAAAAAGCATTCCTTGTCATAAAATAAAGCTCAAAAGAAGTCAGGCTCTCTCTGGAAGGGGCCAGGTGTACTCCATGCTAGAAAGATGAAAAGATGACTGGTTTCAGTAGGTGGGTATGGTGGAAGGCCCTGGTTCAAAAGTCCAGGTAACAGATGAAGAAGGTAAGCCACTGGTAGGGAGACTAGAAATTCTGTAGGTAAAAGTCCTAACTGGTAGGAGTATATGAATGACAAGAATGAAGTGAAGGAGGGGGCGGTGGGTACTGTTTGGGGTGGTGGGGGAATGGGGTTGGCATAGGACAAACAGGGGAACTAGAACACATCAGGCGTTTGTTTTAACATACAGGGTTGGAGGCACCCTGGGGCATCCCAGTGAAAATGTCTAGTCTGGAAATTGTTTTAGGACAGCGATTCGGACTAGGCCCAAGGGCACAGGAAGCACTCCCATGCAGGTAATAAGAGAAGTCAGCAAGTGCTTTCTGAAGGAGTCTCACTTTTTAGCTTGTGTTTTACCATAAGTGAGCAAACTCACAGGGTTAAAAATCGTCAAATAGTCAACATCCAAAAACCAAATGATCCAATTAAAAAATGGGCAGAAGACACGAACAGATATTTGTCCAAAGTTGACATCCAGATGGCCAGCAGACACATAAAAAGATGCTCATCATGACTTACCATCAGGGAAATACAAATCAAAACTACAATAAGATATCACCTCACACCTGTCAGAATGGCTACAATCAACAACACAAGACACAAAAGGGGTTGGTGAGGATGTGGACAAAGGGGAACCTCACGCACTGTTGGTGGGAATGCAAACTGGTGCACCGCTTTGCAAAACAGTGTGGAGGTTCCTCAAAAAGTTAAAAATAAAACTACCCTATGCTCCAGCAAATGCACTACTGGGTATTTACCTAAAGAACAGAAGAACACCAGTTCAAAGGGATACATGTACCCCTATATTTATAGCAGCATTATTTACAACAGCCAAATTATGGAAGCAGCCCAAGTGTCCATCAAAAGATGAATGGAAAGGGGCGCCTGGGTGGCTCAGTCGGTTAAGCGGCCGACTTCGGCTCAGGTAGT